AGAGTTCTGAAAGCAAGCTTCTAGAATGTTAGCGCGGAAAGCAAGAGCACAACTATTTATTCATCATCAGAGAATCTAGTTAAGAAAAAAAAAAGAAAGAGAAACGAAACACCAGGCATGTCCACAATTCAGAGTTCCCTGCCTTTTGAAAACAGAGGGGCCAGTCAACATAAATGTTATTGTTATAAAGTCAGATCCACAGCAATACGTCAAAAGGCCACAAATCGAAAACAGAGACTTTGTATCAAGCGAAAGTGTCTGGAGGTCCATGAGCCCAGCAAAAACCTCAGGGGCTATTTGGAGGTGGCTGCCAGCTGAGAAGTGAGGAAACTGCGAGCAACTGCAATACTGAAATGCGTGGGGCTGTGTCAACGAATGAGAAGGAAAAGGAAGGTCTCTCCTGAGGACAGAGGCAGGTTAGGCGTCAGAAAGAGAGAGGTTACTCGACCTGGGTCACCAGAGGCTGCGACAGCAGCTTCAATAAAAGAGGCTGCACAACCCAGGATCTCGCAGGAGTTTAAAGAAATCTTTCACCAAATGCTTAAGGAAACCCTGGAGCAAATATTTAGAAGAGCTATGCATCTGAGACATATTCAAGTTATAAAACATCTACTAATGGTGGTTGAACTAAAAGCAAAAAGCTGGGAAGGATCAGAGAGAAGGACTATCTCTGATATGGACTACAGAAGGACAGCTGAAGCAGAATAGAGACCAGATGATGTGTTCAATGAGGAAACCCAAGATTTATAAGGCAGGAAGGAAAGCCAGGATACAGTTAAAGAAGAGTACGCCTTGTTTTACATTTGCCTGTGTGCAAATCCTGCACGGGGTCCGTTTTTGTTCTCTATGTGCTGTTTCAGACTGGCAGTGATTTATATTTTGCAAGCCCTCCCCACCCACCCTCCCTTTAAGAGAAGCCCAGGGACTACTTGTCTACCTCACACAGGAAACTCTGAGATTTCCCTTTAACTATACTGGTGTGCACACAGTTAGGTAAGCCAATACACTGTTGAAGGGAATTTAAATCCAACTTAAAATTTCTTTTAGGAGCACTGACTTTAATTGATCATAATTAAGTATGCAATTCTGTGCTGAATGGAATCTCTTAAGTCCTGTTTTACAAACTAAAAGAGAGTCTTGAATTTGCATCTCAACTATGACACGAACCAGTTCTATGACCCTAGAACCAGTTCTATGACCCTAGGTCACTTATTTAATCTTAATGAATCAACTTCCTCATCTGGAAAATGGGTATAACAAACCCTGCTGCTTCCCAGTGGTCACGTGGCTAAAACGAGACATCACTCCAAAGGCAAGAGTTTTGCCAGTTGCTTGGCACAGGGACAAAAAGGATTAAATGTGAGTTTCCTTCCCCTTCCCTAGTGCATCATAATATAATGTGATATTTAGAATTTTAATTCATGCAATTACTTAAGTAGTAATTGCTATTTGTATTTACATAGCTGCTTTGATCCAAGAAGCTCAAAGGGCTTTACTAAATTTAGCATTTTAATAAATGTTTCATTTGCATGGCGTTGATTTTGTTTACCCACACCAAAACTCGAAATTTCTTAAAGCGAGATAGTCAAGACAGTTGAGAAAAACAAGATAACTATCTTTGTGTTTACAGGTATCCCAGGTCCAAGTTTTGTCTATTTACCAAAGAAGTCAGGACGCCCTGGTCCTGCAGAATGAAACAGCGACAGCGAGAGACATGGGTGTGCCTGCCTTGCTCTGCAGCTTTTAGCTCCTGCCTGAACCTCATCCCCACCACGCTTCTCCCAGGCCTGACAACAGAGGTATGTCTACTGCACCAATGACTTTATATATATATAATCAGCACAATAAACATTATTGAATTCTCGGAAGAAAATCAAAGCACGGAGCGCAGCGCCTGTGCTGAATTCTAATGATGCGGAAGGTCCGTGATCGCACTGGGACAGGATCTTAACAAGCCTTGATTTGAGCGCTGGCATCCGCCTCACAAATCACATGGGCTGCTCCCCCCCTAATGATGCTGAATATTGATACATGTCTCTACCCCGCGCAACAGGGAAGTGGGTTTCTACTGGCAATCTCTACCAAAGTGTGTGTGTGTTTTTTTCTTCCCTTCTCTGCACTCAAGGGTTTACCCTGAATGATTTAATTATAATTTTCCTTGTGTAAGACAAATTAAAGAGGAGAGTAGGAGTGTCGTGCCAAGCACATTATTTATCTCCTTAACAGACTGCAGCTCACCAAAGCCCAGAGCTGCTGCAGCGGTGCCTGCTCACGGGAGCCCGAAGGATGCAAGGGGGCAGGCGGCGGGGGGAGGAGCCTTCCACAAGCATGGAAATCCGACTTTGAAAAGCAAACCGCAACTCTCACAATGCCCTATGAAGTGTCACATGGAGTACTCTCACCTCCTTTTGGAAAGAATTCCTAAAGCTGGTACCCCAACATACAGCTCCAGGAGCAGCACTGGGGGTGGGGAATATTACATAGAAACCAAGGGAGCTTCAAAGGAGGTACATTTCACAAATGCTCCTGGTGAGAAAGGGATGGAACTTCTCAAAGGGACTCCTGAGACAAATGACAACTCATTGTGTAAAGGAGAACGAATTGTGAGAGGGATAACTTTAAAAAAAAAAAAATCATTTCCCACTATTTAAATAGCAATATCCCCCATGGGATTTTAAAGTAAACCATCAGATGGTAAAAGCATAAAATATTCATTATTAAGTCCTTATATACAAAGCTGACTAATAATTCAATTTTTAATGATCAATTCTGTAAGTTTGTAACTTTTTGACTTATCTTTAACCTAAGGTGCTCTTCTCATCTCTCTTATTTGTCACATTCAGTTAAAATGTGATTAGAATTTGATTCAGTCCAGCCATGTCTAGGAACCTACCACATAATATAAACTCAGAGGTCCCAGAGATTAAGTAGTAGCATATAATTTCATAGTTGCTTCTTCTTTGCATGTACAGTTGGAGAAGTCAGGCTGTTTCTACATCCAGATTAATGCTCAGTGAAATCTGAATTCTTTCCTGATCCTTATTCTAATGCTGGCAAGTAGTATAATGAAAATTAAGCCCAACTTTTGTGCAGACACATAAGGACCACAAACGAGAAATCCAACAAACTTATTCTCCTGGAATTAGACTGTCTCTGAGATCCATTTACTTTCAAATGCACCTTTAAGACATGAAAAGGGCTATTCTTCTCCTATTTGCCTCCTTGGTAATCTACTACCTGACTCCAGATATATAACCTTTTAGAATGAAACTGAGCACAGTGCATCTAAACAGGGAGAAATTTCTGTGTCACAGGAAATCTGTGCAGGCTCCACAATGGCCGACGAGATTACAATAAATACTTTAAGTGCATCAGTTGGCATTTTTCACTGTATGGCCCCCTTCGCTACCTATGGATAAAGATGTAATTCAATTCCTTTGCTGTAAATGGACAGCATCAACCTCAGGACGCCAAAAGCAAGTACAGCAAAGGACGACAAACTAGAACCTTTTCTTTAAAAGCTATCGAAGGTCTAGGGTTTTTTTTTTTTTTTTTAATTACAAAGGCACTCTAAGACCTTATACAGCAAGAGCTAAGACTGGTCTCCAGACATACAAACCTATCCTCACTGGAAACAAAAGAAGTCACATTTGGTCCAATGTTTCCAAACTAATTTTTACTGTCAACCATTCTATTTTTCAAGCTCCTCTAAACCAGTAGGATAAAAGCATCTTTTAGTTCTGCTGTGTCTGCCACAGAAACTCCAAAGTGATGTCAGAAAGAGAGTTGCAAGCTTTGGCTAAAACATATATAATCTCATCTCCAGAAACCTCTCATGGTGTTTGGTTTTGAACATGATACACACACACCAACACATACACAAAATATTCAGGTACTATTTTCTGTGCTGTGATTACTAAGCTCTAAATGGATCAAGTACTGCTGGTATAAAAATATACCACATATATATATGTGTGTACTTGCTTAAGTGAAGAACACAATTAAAAAATCTTTCACTTGGTCCCTTTATAAAAAAAAAAATTTGGTTTTCCTGAATGGAAATGACATTTGCTATCACCTACGACTTTTAGGTTTTCTTTTCGTCTGTGCGTGGACACTCTGCATACGAGCTACATAGGAAACAGGTTAAAAATACACCAAAAAAAAAGTTTTATATATGTATTTTCTACTTTGAAAAAGGACTGAATAGTAGTATTAATGTTTCTGGGTGCTAAGGTATAATAATATGGATTCACAGCTTCCTTTTTAGCACTGTCTGTTCACATGATGTATTTTGGATTTCTCAAAATACCCCAGCTTCAACCAACATCCAAGTGAAGCTCAGGGCAATTTAAAAATATAAAGTGTTAATTTCCAAAGAGGAATACAGAAATTGAGTCAATGCTACAATACAGACCATGATCAGGATAAAGTGGCTCTGTATGTCTGTGTGTGCATACATGTGGACCCCTTCCATCAGTCCATCCTGCAAACCTTCACTGCCGGTCTATTTAAGAAAAAAAAACCCAAACACTTTGGGGACACAACGGTGAAACAGATGGGTTCCCTGCCTTCAGGGAGGGAACTGCGGAGTAGTGTACATTTTACCTTTTCTCAAACTGCAATTCAACACAGCCTACAGTAGACACTGCTATTTCCTTAGAAAGCACATAAAGACCAGGAAATCGACTTGTATGCAGTGGACACTTGGCAGAAAGAGGAGGCCTGGAAGCCCAACTCATCCAAAAGAGAGATCGAAAGACTGCCTGGGTTCCTAAGCCCAGGTTCCATCTATGTAAGTGCTAATTCCACGTTGAAAAGGTGACAATAATTAGATGCTTCACACCCACACCATATTGAATACATTCTTAAGTAATTATACGCACACTCCAGTCACATGGATCCAATTAGGGATCACTGAGATAGATACGGTGAGGAGAGGCCACCCACCCCTCCGCCTTACAGCCAGCTTCGGACACATCTCAGATCTGCGTTCCTACCTTTCCCTTTTGGGAGTGTGGACTGACAGCTGTCCATTGGTAGAGGCATGTGGGTTCATTATTAAGGAGGTCTTGGAAGGTGCAGAGGAAGAGACACACGTCGTGGTCAGATCCAAACTGCTGTGATTGTTGCCCGTGGTTTCTTCTGTCGTATGAGCACTTGTCACTTCCTTCCAGAGCTGCTGCAGTTCTGTTGGAATCATGCCTGAAACAAACAAATTGGATAATTAAATCAATTAACAGCTAATTCCGTCCTCTTCAAACAGTAATTAAATCAAAGAGTCAGTAAACAAAGCCTAGTGTTAGGGTTTTTTTTGGTGCATGCAGTTTTCTTTTCCCTTCCCTCTCAACTAAGGCAAATACGGTAGGAGGGAATGGGTCCTCCACCTGAAGTACCCTCATCACACATAAAAGACTCCCATGAAAAGGATTCAGAACACAGCTATTTTTTGCAAAGACTGTATGCCTCCATCCAAACTGTTGTTTCTAGACCGCTGGGGCAAAAAAAAAAAAAAATGTAGATAGATGTTACTGTATTTTTAGACACAAAGAAGGGCTCAAAATAAATTTGTTCAACTATACTATTATGACAACATGAACCACAAAATGAATAATTTTTGTGCTTAAGTCTTAAATGATGACAAATAGCTTTGTTATTAAATATAGTTTTTATTAATCACTTTTAGACATAAATTATGAATTCATATCGTCTTCCTGAAATGCTTTTCAACTTTTAACAGTCAAATTGATTATACTATGATTATTTCATTAACACACCTATCTTCCTCATTAATTTTGGTTTCTTGTACCACATGCTTAATTGATGGATGTGTCTACTGAAAAACTGTATAACTTTTTATACAAGTAACACTATTATTACTGTCATTTCTTAGATCCATGCTAATGAACCATTGCAGAATGAAATGAAAACGTGAAAGAAACTTGGAGCAGTACAGTTGTCTTGCTCTTTAAGGGGGTCAGAATGGACATGAGTCTTGGGCAATAAGTGTCACCTTGTTTTTTTCCTCCCAAGAAGAGATTCAATCAGTATGTCAATCTCACTATTGTGGGCACAAAGCCTTTATTCTGGCGGCATGCCTCTATAGCCCAGGATTTCCAAATCTGACCTCAAGGCATATTCTAGTGCATGCACGCACAGAAGAAACATATTCTGAATGGCAGCTGACAACAACCACCTAGGAGGACAACTTGGAAGAAATCACAAAGCCCTGACATCACGAGGCAATGCCGCATTAGAACTGGACGTCTGGATCTCAGTTCATTGTTTCCATGAACTGGAACCGAGCTCTCCGAGGAAGCCTGCCATTTTCTGACTATATAGCAGGAACTGGAACAGGGATGTTTCTGACCAAAGCTAAGGTACTGAATTTAAAAAGAAGGCTGTGTGCATTATATTCATTTGAAACACATAATAAAAAATGCCAAGGTCTAAATTTAATTTATTTTTGTCATTTAGAATACAATGGATAGATAATCATCTCAACGTGATCAGCCAAACATCTTTACTTTGCTAAACTGTTAAAGATTTTAATTATGCTAGCATTGGAGAGCACTGGTCTAATGAGGCGATGGACTCCAGAGAATCCGAGTGGTTAAGAACTGTGAAATGAGTCTGATAGGATTTTTTTATATTCACCGTGGATCGTTTGCATATCAAAGAGGAGTAAATTATTGCACAGCAGACCAATAACCTTCCCCGCCTTTCTGAGGGGAGCGTTAACAAAAACAGTTGGTCTCTCCTAACGGTTCTCCAAGAAAATGTTCAAACGCTTGAGTCTTTGCAATTAATATATATTATAAAAGAGGCCTCAAATGATACATTAAGTGGTCAGATATTCTTCGAATGCGTCCTCGACAGCCAAGTCAGTTTTCTTCTTCCTTCATAAAAATCAAATGCCAATTATATTTTGATGGATTTTGTCCCAAATGAGCATTTAGTTATTAGGCATATTCAATTATTACTTGTCCCCTGAAATTAAACCTCGGAGGCAAATTAAACAAAGGGAAAGGTCACCACACAATCCTGTGTCCAGTCCTGCTGCATCTCGGCTGTTTTTTTCCAACACCTAGTGAGGTGATGTGCAGGGGGGTTTGGTAGCTAACAGGCTGCCACTGATGTCTGCACCCCAGCAGTTACCTGGAAGATGGCTGACCCTCGGATCGCTGTTTATTCAATGGAAACAATAGTGAATAGGGGTGTCTGTGGATGATGGCACACGGATATAATGCCACACAAGTCAACACCCAGTTTTACTTTCTGAGGAGTCGATACACACAAAAAGAACAAGCCGCCTAGTTTTCAACTCAAACTGATTGATTTCTGGGTCAAGGTGCATGGGAGGTGGGTTTCTAACCACTGTGTTGACACTTTCCCTCTGATAGAAGCAGCACTCGGAAGCTGTTTCAAAAGTAAGCTGTTTATCCAGCAAATAAAGACAAAGAGAAATGCCCTGTTACACTTGTTAGGCCCACAATGCACATTAATGTTTCTCTCCTTTCCTTCTAGTCCAATGGGCTAGCAAATCAGTTTCTTCGTCCACAGGGAGAAACGGTAAATAAAACAGTAACTCACTGACTGACAACGAGGTATCCTTCTGGGTCAAATTTCAGTGTGATAATTACGGTGAAGAACATTCACATCAGACTCTCAGAAAGGCAGTCAAATCGGTCTCTTCCATCAATGTTACACCTTGTTAGTGATGTTAAACTGTTACTTCAGTGAACAGTATCTACCAAAGGATGCTGTTATTTGACAACCGAGATCTCACAATAGAATTAAGACAGATAAAAGGTAAGCTAGTCACTCATCAAACTAAAGGGACACCAAATGTCCAGAAAGCATGCATTTCTTCCAAAATGGTAGATAGGAATAACAGTCCCAAGTTAAACAAACCCATTAACAGGTACATCGGCAGGCACGCAATTTTCTTCCAACTATAGTTTATATTTTAAAAAATTTAAAAGTCAGAATGATATTAAAAGTATATTTCTTTATGGAATTACAGGTGCTAGGAAGATGATATGACTAAAGCCATCAGGGGAAAAACAGACATGCTAATAATATAAAACAGGGAGAAGGCTGTCCAACAGCCCTAAAAACATTTTACAAAAAGAAAGGTCCTTCTGTTTCATAACCTAAAACCTCCAGGGGAAAAAAAGTCTTCAAAATATTACTCTCTGTCTCTTCCAATACTGTGATATTTACATGCACGTTTAAGGCAACTTAGCCAAGACCGTGCAGGGATGTAAAAGAATCATGGTGATTACATCCTGAAGTGAGCATTACTAGCATTTTTAACACATAAACCCTGGGCCTGCCTACATGATTTTTTCCAGGACAACTGGCCCCTTCATTATAAAAGAAAATGCAGACACAGGTTTAAAAAATGTATGTTGTGGGGACAGTTGACAGATTACCATTCACGGAACTCAATTTTACAATCCCAGGTATCACTGGCTCTAAGACAAACAGAGTTGATCAACCTTTTTTGTCCTTGTACCTCTATACCCAGGTGACCATGTTCAAGCAAGCAGAAAGTTGATTTAAACCTCATAATGACATCAGTTTTAAGTCATCATCTCTCTGATAAAAAAAAAGAAAACTGTGTTGTAGTCCAAAATGACTGAATTCTCCAGCCACTTTGGGCAAGGGGTGAGGGGACACAAAACCAGCCTTATGATTCCAAGAGAGATGGCTATGACACGGGTGGTTCACTTCACTAGGAGAAATGTTTATATTTGCGTTTATGCATTTTGGGCACACACAAAGACACCCCCTTAGACTATAAATATGCATCTTCTTAATGTTGCGGGGGCTAAAGCGTTAGCGCCGACTGCTAAGCATATCAATCAATGCCATGACTGGTGAATTACCTACTGGTGTCTCTGATATGTTACTGCAGAGATTACACTTCATGCATCACCACATTCATTTCTTTCACATTACATGTGAGCTTGTCTTGTCACTGCCCAATTGCCCTCTTTTGGACAGCTTAACTGATGGACTATAACAATGAACCTCAGCGAGCACACTTAATAGTATAGGAGCAGCAGGAAAAGATGAGCGAGGCAGAAGCGGAGTCCAGTGGGTGTGTCCGCCCAGCCGGCGATGTTGCCAAAGATAAATACAAAGATGTAATTAATGCATGTTATAACATTTTGCAAGCACAAAAGTGCATTAGCCCATGTGTCCTCCCCCCCCCACCCCCGCCCTGGCATTGCTCAGTTACCAAATCTTCTATTTTGACAGCAATGGCGATATTGATTATATACTGCGTGGATGAGCAGTAAGAGCAGGAGGAGGAGAGGAGGCGAGAGGCAAGTTAAAGGAGGAAAATGTCCTGGTCTCAGCATGAAGACATAAAGAAAACCCAAAGAACCCCAGGAGGGACACAAGTTGGCTGTGGTTGACTCAAGAGACTAAAGGCAGACATGACTCAAAAGTGACTGAATACATGGCCATGCCTTCATTACCATGAGGGGAGAAAGAGTTTTCATATTTTGAACTGTCTTCATAACGCAACTGAATCCAAGACACCAAAGGTTTCAGCTACCAGTCTTGAAGGCACATATACACATATATCCGACTCCATGGGCCTTGAAGGGGCAAATGAAATCCACCGTACCACGTACAGGACGGAGGAACTGTATTTCAAAACACAGCATGACTCTTTCTTCTTTCCTTCCCTCCTTCCTTTCCTTCTGGCTTGCTCTGAATAATTCATTTGTGTATCACATTACCCAAGTAAAAGTTAGATTTGCTTCAACCCAGAGGATGTCCTAGGAACAGGAAAAGTACTCCTTTCTGTCTGATGGGCAACATCCATTGGAAGAACATGTCAATGGCTTTTCCAAAGAAATTTCTAAATCCATGAAATCTCACTCCTTTTCAAAGAGCTCCAACTCTCAAAAAAGAGCTGGAGACGGACAAGTTGCCCGTTCTAATGGGTGTAGAATCAACTTGCTCAAAAACCAACAATCAACTCAATGCAAAAGAGAGAGAGAGAGTCCAACAGAAAACCCCCTTGGCTTCTGCAACAGCAAGAGATGAATCACCACTGTCTACCCGAATTTCTCCCTAGATGTTAAAGAGAGACATTTCAAAGGCATTACTACAATTTAAAACACAGCAAGTTACAGGATGTACAAGGTATCTTAAAATAAAACTTAACGAAAGCCTTAAAGTTCTTAAAACTAAGGAAAGCCTTCAAGAAAATGCATTTGCGATTCCAAACTGAAAATGTGAGAAGATCTGACTAAAGAGCAGTACTGCCTTCTCTCCTGCAACATTTTGACCCTGTGGCGTCGGCGAAGCCTGCAGACCACCCTACGCTGTCATCTTGGCGCTCACAAGCCCTCCCGCTTCTGGAAGGGTCCATCACTGGTACCTGAGCTGGTTTTGCGTCTAAGTGCGCATCTGCGTGTTTTAAAGAAACAATCTCCTCCATGATGAGCTGGAAGGAGACCCCACCCCCCTCGCCATCACTGCCGGGAGTCTTGAGAGACCGACGCCTTCTGCGTCATCAGCGCTTACCTTGAGTGAGAGGTTGGAGGGGAAGGGCGGGCTGCCCCGGCTGGATGGTTAGGAGGCCCTGGCGCTGCAAAGACAGGAGGTGCTGCTGCTGTAACTGCTGCATCTGCAGAAGCTGCTGCTGGAAGGCCAGCTGCTGGGTAGCCACCTGCTGCTGCTGAAAGAAATGAGGCAGGGGAAGAAAGAGAATGAGACGGCCACTGCCCGGGGAAGGCGGACGGATGGTGGTCCTCAAACAGCCTGTCATCGGCCAGGACTGAGAGTGGTCACCCGAGCTTCGTGGAAGGCTCGGGCTCAAGGCTGCCTTCAAGGGGACAGAACACAGCACCTCCGAAGAGGAACGAGGGGCTGGGTGGAGGCCCTTTCTCCTGCCGGCTCCCACAGAAAGACAGGTTGCCAATCAAGGCAGTTTTTCCTGTGGTTGCAAAGGCCTGAGTTTCTGCAGGCAGAATGTGGACTTCTAGACTCTGAAACCTGTAACGAGGCACACGAGAAGTCAGGCTTCACCACTTGAGGTCTAGAGGGATTTGAACCCTGAACCCTGAGGTGTGAAGGAGCAAGCTGCTTCCATCCTGCCTGCGCAGGGAGAAGCGTTTAACTACTCTGTTTATCACTTCTGACATAAATAAATGAGAAAAAATCAGACCTTTGAAGAAGAAAAACTTCATCTAATATTGTTAATTAGCCATGACAAACGATGAAATAACATTGTAAATCTTTCATAGAAACAGCCACTAGATTTTAATTACACACATTCATAATTTAGCAAACAACATCGCACTCGGCTGTGAGTGCTTAATATGAAGGACACTTTCAACTGCAGATGCCTTCGCTTGGCTTGAGTTTCAGAAACCACAAGGTCTGCTTGCTGGTCCTGCTTCCCTACCTGCTTTGTTCTTGAAAAGAAGGGGCTCTGCGATATGATAAATATCTTTCTGTTGATTGGACAATGACAGGAGGAAAACTTTTGTTGTGTAAAACATCAATACATCATTCCTGTGTTTAGCAGGCCTTGCTCCAGCCAAAAAAATTAATGTAGATTTCCTCAGTAATTATCTGAGTGATAGAAAGATAATACAGTGCAGTATTACAATAAATAGAAGGAAATTATCTAATATCCTTAATCTGTGAGGAATCAAATCGAGGTGGAGGTCTTAGCCACATTATGGCTAACAATTATGAAAGAAAAATTAACCCTTCTTGGGGAAGGGAGTTCTAAAACCAGGAAAGAAAAAGAAAAGAAAAAGATTCTTTAAGAAAGGCCACAAGATTGTTTCCCTGATTCTCAGTATTATTCACAACATGAGAGAGACATTCCCAACCAAGAGGACTACATAACCCTTTCAGAGCTTCTCATAACTACACTTTACAAACAACTGCATTCACTTAACCTAACACATGACCTTGATCTGATACATCCATAAAATGGTATATATACCAAGACCTTCTGATGCAAAGTTCAAAGGAGGAGAAAAATAGTGGTTTCCTTTTGGTCTCCATGTAGCTTATTTTACAGTAAAAACCATCATTCTCATATTAGCAACCAATTTCAGACTTACTACCATGCCACTGAGAAAGTTAATTGAGTTTCACTCCAAAAAACAAATTCTATACCACTAACAACAAAAATTTAAATAAATTTAAATGAAAAGCCAGTGTTTTCATTTGAAGAACAGCATGCATAAAATGATCCAATTGTTTTCACCCCTTCCCAAGTTATCACATTAATGTAAAACCCAATGATAGTTATATTCATGTCAAAGTGATTTTTTCACTTCTTCAACAGATATTAATTCATGATGTTTTTTTAAAAGGTGGGGGAGGGGAAGAAGAGAAGAAAAAACAACATGGGTACAATAAAAGATCAGGGATTCAGCTCTTGTTGAAGTAAAAAATCTTGGGGCAGGGGGTGCCGGGGCTTGGGGAGGGTGTTTCCTGTCTTACTGTAAATGAAATGTTTAGAAATTCTGTTTTTATATAAAATGACTGATGGCTGCTCTGTCGTCTCTGTGGCCATCCCTAGGAAAAGCTCATGAGAGCTGTCCGCGTTTGAAAAGCCAGGATATAAAAGTATACAAGGCCCATTGTCCAAAGAAAGAATTTAAAAGCAACACTGGTTGCCAAACTGCGCTCCCCACCCAGTTACCAAACACAGGATACGAGTCCGTTTGTTTACTTCTCACAATTGAATGCATACAAAAAAGGTCTCCGCGCAGTCCCCTGGACAGGTCAGTAGTCAGTGTTAAAATGCTAAAATGCCCTGATAAACCTTGCATTTCGGATCCCCTCCCTAGCACTGCAGTCAAAGGTCTGTTTTCCTTTCTTCGGCTCCTCCCTACCGCCTAACATAAACTGTCATAACTACCCAGGACAAACGGCCCTTTTAAAACAATCAACTTAGCCTACCTCGCCCGCACAGGATGGGATCTTTTTTTGTGGCCTGACTTAAAATTAACTCTGCCTTCGCTTTTCCACACCCGTCCTGTCAAATAGTAATGAGCTGTCACCTAAGAACTAGCTGTATGGGGCTACGGAGCACCCATCTTCCCAAGAAGGTCTCAGGGCTGAACTCAACAACTCGAGGCAACTTTAGGAAAAAAGAGACTAAAGTATGTTGTTCTGGCCCAGGATCAAGTATCTTACTGCAGAGGTGATCAAAAGAGGGAAAAGGCGGGGAGAGGGTGGCTGACGATTCAAAATTATGAGCCACTAATGACTGGGGATTCAGTAAATTAATACACTTGTTCCATCTGTCAACATCCAAGTTCAAACCTTGTTAAAATCCTAACCAGCAGTCCACATCATGAGATTACTACCACGTGACTCTACTTCATGGTAGCACAGAAGGACCACCACCGGCACAGTCACTTCAGGAGGCTCCCCCTACCTCAGGGACATAAAGATCGCCTGGTCATTGCTACAACAGGACTTGGTAACATTCAGTGGTGCCGTGAACACACGGGCAGAATCCAAGGGGATGTGCTGTAGGTCTGGGCCCGCCCACCCCTCAGGATCTGAAGGCAACACCACCTTTACCATTAAAATGGATGGCAAAGTGTGACCACAACAAACCCAGTGTCCCGGAGATGCTGAACGCTACTGCTATCATGCAACCACCGTCCCCTGGTTCAGACACAGAGTGGCCCCCTTTTCTCTCCCACCCCCCCTCCCAAATTCCAACACCACCAGCATGTGTGTGCGCCCGAGGTGCCCCCTTCCCTTTCTGAAGGCAGCAATTTGGGCGAGTTAACTTTTATCCTTCCTTCTGCTGTGTAACTTTCGCCTTTGCATTTCTTTATCTGCCCTCTGAGCTCATCTGAACTTTCATGTTCTCCCAGCATGCAGACGTGCATTCCAAACTATGTCTAACAGACCAAGTAAGAGGTTAATAAGAAGTGGCAACAGAAAGGAAAAACACAATCCCTGGTAACTGATAAGAATGACAGTGCGGCCCTTTTTTGTTTGTCTTCAAATATAGAGTTAAAGATCTTTAAAAAACTAAATTTTGATGCCTTTGAAAAGAAAGAAGCACAAAATAACAACAGGGGGTTATTGCCTGCGAGCCACAGGGGAGAAACTCCATAATTCTTATTCTCCCTTTTGAAGGCTGTTAGAAATCTGATTCAAAAAAGCAACAGCAGAAGGGGAAACCTCTTGAGGCTGTAACCATTTCCTGTGATCATGCATAATGTGCTTCAAAAGTGGGTTTTTACCAATTCTGTTGATCAATTGCACCTCCTTCATATCCCTTCTTTTTTCTGCTGTGTTTACATCTGATGTGACTCCGTGACAAGCACTGTCTGAGACTGTGAAACAGGCCTGTCATGTTGATTTATGGGCGCATCAAACCACAACTTGTCCAAACTGAAGCTCGCAGTTCATTAATTAGAGAGTTGTGACTTTGAAGTCAGCTTTCAGACTGTGGTTTTTAACATTTGGCTTAATTTATATGCTCTTGAATGTGGATCTCTAAGGAAAAAACTGAAATTCCCTTCTTGTCTTTGAACTTCTTTTGACCGCACAATAATCATTTCTTTGTCCAGAGTGATGCCTGCAATCCCAGAGTCATTAACGCGCATTGAACTGCCACTGATGAGTAAGCCCTGCTGAATTAGAAAAACAGCCAGCAAAACAAAGCTGAGAGCCTTCTGCACAGTGATATCTCACAATTACATGCCTTCCCGCCCTGTGCCATTTCCATTTTAATTACTGTTAGTCCTTTAGATTTACATTTTAGACACTTTTTAATCTGTTCCCTTTTTTATTACTGCAGCACCCGGTAGCGCGCCACCGTACTTAAGGTTGTGTCAGCAGTTTCATTAAAGCCCCTCCTCCCCTTCAGCCCCAAACTGCCCCTACTCTGCAGGGGTTTCCATCCAGGCTGCTAACCAGGACTCCAGGGTGAGCCCTTGGCAGGGCAAGGAACATGCACCCAGCGCGTGCAGGGCAAGGAGCCCGCACAGTGAGCACGGCTGGGTCATTCCCCGCATGCGGAAACAGGCAAGCACCCGCGCTCCTGGGACGGCCAGGACACAGTCACCTGGCGGGACTCCTTATGAGCTGAAGGCAGGGGCTGCCTACTGCGGGCCAGCCACGAAGCTGCTCAGAGGGGCTGGGAGCTGTTTACCAAGCTCTACATGGTCATTTCGAGGAGAATACTCAAATGGAAAGAATTTCAGTCCACCGTGAAAATATGCAAAGATAAGTGACATAGGATAACTTTGGAATGGAAGAGAGATGTCACGATAACATACACATGCCCAGAGATACTCCCCCATCTGACCAAGCCTCAGCCACATTGAGTCGCATAGAAGGTGGGACAGAAACCCTGCCTGGGAAGGTCTTCCCTTCTGTTGACAGAATACTGCTACCTAACTGGGCAGTAGGCACACGTGATCACTATGCCCACCTACAAAGGACTGCATACGCAGAAGCAATCGCAATACACAAGTTCTTCTCAGGAAGACACAAACACTCCAAGCCTGCCATTAGCAGTTATGATCCATGCAACTTGGAAGAAGCTGTTCAACAAAGATGGGGTGTTCTGAACCCTGCTCTAACTTTTGGCATAAAGGATTCTTTTTCTGAAGGCAAAATCCATCATCAATACCCAAGCTCCTTGGAGCTGGGAGAAAAATATCAGGTGTGCACCCAGGTAAAATTTTACTTGGAGCACTTCACCTCCCCCAGCTAGACCTCAGCTCAGCGGTGCCAGTTTGCAAAAGTCGCCCTAAAGGTTCCGCCCAACCTCCTCTTCCCAGCGCCCACACAAGGTACACCTGTAGCAGTGTTAGAAAAAATACGTGGCAGCCAGTGAACAGAACCCAGAAAAATCTGAAAGAAAACAGGACAATAACTCTCAGTCTGAAAGCTGAGAACCGATAGAGTCAGCTGAGTTGTGCAATCATTTAAAAGATGAATGACAGTTTAATAGCCACGAGATAGTCCTCAGGGATCTGTGGTTTGAAAGTAAAATATGTATTGTCGGTACCTCTTTAGGCTGTTTTCCAGCATGTTGTTGTTGTAAAAGTTGAAGCTGCAACTGTTCCTGTTGTTTTTTATAAAACTCTTGAAGCTGCTGCTACAAAGGAAACAGAGGACGGTAAGTAACAGAGGGCAGTGCCAAGCCACTGTCCCTTTCGGTGCCATACACAAACTGGGATTTGAAAAATAGCATCCTTTTATCTGTAATGGCCTGACCTTTAGTTTGAAACTCGACAATAAATTTCAGCGCATGCTGACTCTTCTTGGCATTATTGTTTGAAAAGTAATCTCCAAAATGAACTGATGAAAAACATACCATTTTCTACACAAACTAATTAAAAGAAGGCAAGGAATGACCTTTGATTGTACAACAAAGCCAAAGAGCCCTTGCTGAGCGAGTCTGGTGAATCTCTACTGCAGACTGTGCATGCTCACTCCGTGTTAGGCTTGGGTGGTGCTGGGGGCCGGTCAGTGTGGACATCACCGTGTGGCCAGTTTCCTCTGCGTCCGGTCCCCACCACCTTGCCTCAGCAGCCCCCATCACTGTGGTCCCGAATCCCCTCTATCTGGTTCAGGGGTCCATCAAGGCAGACTATGAGGTCCCCATGGCACCATGGCAGCCAGAAGTTTATTTCAGCATCAGCAGACACAAAAGGGGTAAAACCAACTGTGCAGCGGACAGTTAACAAACTCCAAGATGCTTCCTGATGTTAAAAAGTTCTGTACGCTTCTGACTTGAAATGGGGACTTGGAGAGCTGTCACATTTAAACCTGCTCCTGACGTGCTCTCGTTTTGCTTTGATTCACACCATTTAGAAGCCTCTGGGCTTACCAAATAAAAGAGCGCAAAGCCCCCTAAGCCGGAAAGATCTTACTTCTACCAAGTCCAATTACAGCCCTAATCTCAGTCCATCGGGTACTCTCCGGGCCCAAACCCTTGTGGCTTTGGCAGGGTCCCTCTCTTTCAGGGATGCAAATGCAGCTGATCACCCAGGGACCAGTGTGCATCCTGCCCCACCCGCCTCACTCTGCCTGCTGCTTCGGTGGGCAAGTCTGCATGGAGGGGCGGGGCCCTGGAGGCTCGGGATGCTGGGGGAGGAGGAAGGACCTTACCTGTTGAAGCATGAGGGCCTGCTGCTGCTGGAGGAGAACCTGGAGCTGCTGAGGGCTCAGCACTTGCTGCTGGAGAATCTGCTGCATTTGCTGGGGAGTGATAACTTGAGGTGTCATCATAGCCACTGACACGGGAACCTAGAACGTTAACGAAGGATAAATAGGAAGCCAGGAAATCGCACACCCACAGCACTCAGCCTTCCACGTTCAGTGACAGACTGTCTTCAGCCTGCTTAGAGGACTGACCCATTTCCCATATGCGATTCATCTGTCCAAAGGGGATGCAGCCACGAGCTCTAATCAATCAAGTAGTGGATTTCAAATGAAGAAAAATAAAACAAAACTTTGCAGCTACTGACAAGCGTTCCTGAGAGTTTGGTCAGCAAACAGGAGTAAAAGCTTAATACAAGCTACCTGGAGTTAAGGCTGGTGTGATGTCAGTTGCTTCAAGAGTTTTTGGTCATAGCAAGATATAGGAAGTTAACACCAACTTGAATTTTAGGGAAGAAGTTTAACGGGAACCAATATTTTCCCAGCTGGAGCCAATACAATCAGTCCTCTGAGGACAGTTATTTTGAGAACAGTCCATGAACACCAAGTCCTGTGGACAGCTGAACCTTGGGTGCACCTTTCGAAATGCAACACAGACCCTTCCTATGTTGCCTTTTACCCTTCCCTGTTCAGCCAGCACACAGATGTCTCAATTCTTTCATAGTATAAAAGCCGCTTTCCATGACATTTCAGTGACAAACAGCTACAGTGATGAACTTGATAGCATTTCATATTTGCAACTGTTAACACGTTTCTGCACGGGCATCTCTGCAAGGAACCTGAACACTGTATCTGAAAGGATGATGTCTTGTTCAGATAAAACACTGACATTAAAATGACAGGCTGTCTTGGCCAAGGTTACACAAATTGTATTCAAGCGGATACCTAATGACAATGCTATGAATTCTGCAAGCTTTCTAGAATGTAATTTAGCTATTCAAAATAATCACTGCACTTGTGTTTAATTTGCAGACTACATGAGAACCATTTTGTCAGGCCCCGTAATACAAGAAGACTATTTCATGAAAAATTACCCCCCCCAAATAAAAAGATAAGGAAAGGGGGAAAAAAAATGAAAGAAAAGACAAAACCTGTACGTCTTCGAACAGTAATATTTAAGCATCTTACTTTTCTTTGGTTTCTAATCAAACATGTGACAGCAAGAAGCTAGAAGCAGTAAAGGATATACTTTGTTAAAAAGGATCTGCTGTCATCTCATGTATTACAATAAAAGGTAATAATAACATGTTTTGCACTTTGCCTGTGTGCCACTTAAAAAAAAAAAATCCGGCAGACAATAGCTGATCAGAAGATAAAAGAATTAAAAAATCTTTCAGGGGAGCAGTAAGCAAAAGGGAGAAATGCAGTATTAATTTTATGTAACATAATGTCTTAATATGCAGTTTATCTTGACTTTTTCACATGATTTGTCCTGTCATTTGCATAGCGAGCTCTCATTCCTAATTTCACAGTCATTATGCACTGATGTCCCGATTTCTCAGCATCACTAATTTTGATGAACTAAAAATGGTTCCTGAAGGTCAGATTCATATACAGTGAACAGCCTCCACTGTTGTTGTGGGCATGTTTTGTGTGGGGGGATGTTTACGTGCAAGTCTCTCATTGTTTAGAAAACACTAGCTGGAACATTTGAAAATTTTCATTAACTCAAGTCTGGAAGGTCATCATCAAATTCTTCCTATTGCAGTGGCCTTTTAAGTGTAGATGTAGATACACTGTAATTTAAAACAGATGGGCATGTCTGAATATTTTTATATGCAAACAGGGACAGATGTATATGAATGGATAAATTATCCTTTTAAAAAGATACTCCGCCACACAAAATATCACCAATGATGAGAACAGTGAACTTGCATTTAATCTAGGACAAACACCAAGAAGACATTATCCAAACATCTAACCATCTAGAAATTAATTCCAATTAGATGACTCTGTCTTCATACAGGAGAAACTTTCTGAATGTTTCAATCTGTATTGGGTGCCAATTACTATCTTTTGAGCAGCGAAAGCCAACATATCACGATGGAAGTTTACTTTTCCTTGAGAGTTGCATCATCACACAGGGAGGTTTGATTAAGCAAACAAAAGAACCATGTTTAAGGTTTCTTTTCTTCCCCTTGCATTTCTTGGATGATATACAAAATAAATATTCTTGAGCCAAATTTCTGATGGTGATGAACAGGAAAATAGACAGGAACAGGGTGGTGTAAGATCTAAGCTGGTGATGAACGAGAAATTAACAGTGCTATAACAGAAACCACCATAGATAGTCTCGTGCTCACAATTTTTAAAGTGACTGCGGAAAACCTATGTTAGAAATGGGCACCAGAGAACTTTTGGGGGTGATAGAAGAGTCAGCTATTCTGGTTGGTTTGGTGGTCACAGAGGTGGAGACAATTGCCAAAATCCTTCCAGCTGTCTACTTAAATACACTTTATCATATGTAAATTATGCTTCAACAAAACAGATCTAAAAGTTTAAAAAAGGACTTACGCCCACAGATAATTTTTAAATTCCCATATACAGTCAACAGTTTAAATCTCCTTTCCCCAGAGTTATTTATTCAATATCCATAGTCATGTTACAGAACAGTAAAATGATCTTGAGTCTCCCTTCTTTTTCCCGGTGGACATCTCCATGGAGGTGGTGACGAATAATCCAACGCTTAAAGCAACAGACACAGCCAGAGGAGGGGAAGGGGCGAGAAGCCCGAGTAATCCTCCAGCCTGGTGACAGGTCTCTGAATGAGCAGAAGTGGGATATCAGATCCTGATGGCCTCAGCTCTGCTTTTACATCTGAAACCACATTTTCACACCAGTTAACACTGAGCTTCCAGAGGAGGCTCGAGCCTCATTTATAAACATAATAAAACTGAGATTTTCCCCAAACTTTCTCCTCCAACATGTCATGAAAATCAGTTATGGAAAGCTTTCACAAACACAGCCAAATGAACCAGAAACCATTGTGGGGTGGAAAAGGAAAAGAAGAAGAAATCTGAACACAGTGTGAGGCTTTAAATAGTTAAGAATTATAGCCTACATATTCACTGCCTTAGCTCTCTATGTCCAACTTTTTCACGTAGCTAGTCCCTACTAATACTGGGAATCAAAGGGCATGCAGTACCAGCGAGAGGCTATTACAGCCCACACTTTATTGCCCATTACTACTGAGGTCATTAGCGGCAAGAGTGATTGTACTGGTCTTAACCTATTGATCACTGTAACTACTATCATTTAATCCTGTGTTGAATGTCTGGAAAGCAGCTAAAGGCACACAAGAGAGAGTGCTTCAGCATTGAGAAATATGGCCAAGGCTTCGAAATTACACTTTGATTCATAAAATCTAGCCACTGGTTTAAATCAATAGTATTTAAAACAGTCATGTGAGTTTTTAACTACAGCGCTCCAGTATTTATGAGCTCCTCTTTCAGAATATTCAGTCAAAACTAAACTCCCCCCCCCCCCCAATTCCATGCATCTACCTTACCCTCGTTGAGATAAAAACATTAATTTCTGAGGTTTGTGTGCTATAGGGCTCATGCCTTAACTAGGAGTTCAAGCTAATTCTTGATTTCTTTCTCAAATGACAGTTTAAATGCAAAAAAAAAAAAAAAAAGTATCCCCGATACTGTAACTACCTTAACTCTTTGAGTATATAGAAATGAGTATGTTTTATGAGTTAACAATGAATCATAGAAGGCAATTTATGAAGAACGAGAATGATTCCGTCTAGCTGCCTTCAGGGATCAGAAATTCAAATTAAACTTCTGGCAGACATTTAAAGAATGCTAGCATACAAAACTGAATTTAAAACACACATACACACACACACACACACACACACACACACAGAGTTAACACTCTTGAGTTGAGTTTCAAGAGGAAGTCAGGAATTAAAAAAAAAATTGCTTGATACACTGCTGACTGATAGCAGGCGGGCGTGGCCCACCCCAGGTGCACGCAGACCTGAGCTCGCAGGCTGACAGCTGCGGGGGCCATCGGGGCGCGGTGCTGTGCGCCCCTGCTGCCTCCCCACCCTCGTGCTGGGGAGAGCTCATCCACTGCTGTGGAAATGCTCCCTGACACAGTTTTCTTTTACTTCCAAACGGCTTTATAGCAGCTGAACGCTAGAAGACTATTGAAATCATCTGGCTTATTTTTCCCCTGCATCCTCAATGGGGAAAGATAGGTGGGGGGAAGGGGATAGTATAAAAAGCAAACAAGTAAATAAAAACACCCGCAGAAACAATACTTTATTTCTAATCCCAGAGACAATTGGAGGAATTGGGTGGGAAGGGAGATGACACAATATAAATACTGAAAATAACAAGTCATTCCTTTTTTCCTTTCTTTCTCTTCAGTTTATACTCAATGCTAACTCTAAGTCAATGCTGCCAGGTATAAATACACAGAGATCTTGGACATGAGCATATTCTCATAACTGCTATGGGTACAAATAATGCAAATGTAAAGATAAACACACTTAAAATACTGTTGTATTTCCATTTCTCTGGATTAAGAATTTTAAAACTATTTTTCGTCTCTGGTTATTCACTTCATGGATGTCCCAAGGAACTGAAGTCCTTTCTAGATCTGAGGCTCTACCTGGATGATAACTGACCAGGTTAGGCAGTGTTACTTGGTTCATTAAGTAAGAGCAAAATGAATTAAATTAGAATGTTCCACAACATCAAAGCAGAATGAAAGAAAATGGCTCCCCATGCAAAAAAAAAACCACACACACACACACACACACAAAACCAAAAAAACAAACATTTTTTACCTATGTCACATTTGATATGATCATACAGAAGCTAGCCTGTGTGAAAGAAAGAAACAGCAAGCCCCCCTCCAAGAGAGATCAGTGTTCATAATTAATAACCCAGTGGATACAACTGATATATCACCAAACAAAAAAGTTAGAAAGCTTCTATCTATTCCCCATGGTATTTAGAAAGAAGGAGGAAAACCCACACACAAAATCCCCCCAAAGCCACAGACACCATGTAAGGTAGCTGTATCATACTGGAAAGAAAATACGTTTCTGACATAATATTTCAGTCTTC